CCTTTTCTCTCAGTGCTTGTGGTGTTCCACGGTGAGTAGCCGCATGGCTTTAGCCCACCTTTTCCACTTCAAGCTCACCTTCCAAAATGCCCATCTTTCCAGCCTCAAGGCTCCGAGCTCCTGAGCAGGGCGAACCACGCTTTTGTAGGGATATTGGCCTTTTGAAAACAAGTGATCTTCGCCAGGACCTTTGGGAATGAAGCTGCAATGCTAAAGATCAAGTCCCTTTGGCTCTTAGACAAATACAAAAGCAGCTGCATACTGGAAATCTCTTGAATATATATTTCCATCACCCTCTGGTTCAACCACCTCCCACGACGGCGAACAAGTTCACTGTCTTCACAGGTTTGCATCATCCATGTCGCTCCACCTGGCCTCAACGATCCCAAATCAAGCGTCTTGGAGCACTTGAGCGATGCTGAGTCCAAATGAAGCACCTTCAGGATGTCAGAAAATCTGTGTCTCAATGTTTGGTCTGAAAAAGGCCACAAACGTTGGTGGCCCTCAAGATGATGGAAAGCTGTCTCAACAAGAGATAAAAGGTCCGGGATGTCCAACTTTGCCGATTGGTGGCGTGCTGAAACAAATCTCGTCTTCGGTTCGCGCAGGGCCAATAGTGCAAATTTGTTTGTGAAAAATGTGTCACTTGGTAACAAAAGGTCACTTCGCAGGGCATGAGTCATCTCACTGGTTCTAAGGAGCGACCCCCAGCCAAGAGCCAACAGCCCAGCAACATTTAACCACCCCCACGAAAGCGCGATGGTCAGCATCGCCAATAATACTTGAAAAGGCATCGCTATATGGTGTACAGGTTTTTCTTCACGAACCCAACTAAACGCCATGTCCCATGCAGCCTGAAGCTGTCTCCTCAGAATAGGTTTGAAACTGGCAACACTGTTGATGGTTTCAACATAGTGTGAATATGTCTTGCCGGCCTCATAGAGCCGTCTTCCATAAGCAAGCAGAATCTCGTTGATCCTCTCAACGTTCTGAACTGGATTTGCAAAAATCGGCTGCATCCGGAAACCAGCAAATTCACACCACTCTATGAAGGCGTTCAGCAGCTTCTCCCTGTTCTTGGCAGTCAGGTCTGTCACGGGTCGACCTTTTGGCAGCGGAGCTCTGTTCAGCCTAGCTTGAGCTCTTCTAAAGTCTCCAGGCGTGTTCGGCCCAAAAGCACCATGGCTATCCATCGCCCCGACTAACCTAGGTCCGCCGAGGAGGAGAGAGGAGAGAAGAAAAGCATGCCAGAGGAGACAGGAAGGTGCAGAGCCACAAGGCAGCCAAAGAGGGCCTTCCCCAGGGAAGCCAAGAGTAGCATCGAAATCGATACAGTGCTCAAATCCATTGAGACGATGGCGATGCCCGTAGGCGAGCTGACACCAAGCGAAGTCCATTCAATTGCATGATGACGACACCCATGATGGCGGAAATCCAAAAGTCCAAATCCATAAAGTCCAAGCGTGACACGGACCCAATTCGAGGCCCAGCGACGAAGTGGAGGCAGGGAAAGGAGGGCTCTAGCCTGATCTGAGGAAGCCGATGCAATGCCAATGGAAGAGGTCGATTGCCTGACTGCACGATCTCTGGTAGGGTCGTCAGAAGTGTTGAGCCTTGTGGGGACATAAGGAAGCGTGAAGTACAGCCCTCCAGCCAAGCAAACTGCATTGTATCTGTAGAGCAATGTAGCCAGAGCTAAAGAAGACGAGCGACCCTTAGATGCTGCACATCTGATGACATTGGAATCGACCAGGTTGACAACCCGAGTAGCAGACGGGGATCGTGCTTTCTTCTCTGCCAACCTCAGGAGCGAAGACATCTCCAGCAGATTGATGTGCCTCTGTCTTGCAAAGTCCCAACTGTCCTCCTCCTTCCAAGGCAATGCGATCGCACACATGTTTGTGAACTGGTTCTCAAGCCCCTTCACCTTCAGGGACTCAAGCTTCTCTGCAATGAAGGCTTCTCTGAAGCCTTCGTGTACTTGCCCTCAACGATCACATGGTCATGATCCCTGGTGCATCTCCGAGTCAGTCTTGAAATATCCATGTGGACCGCCATCATTCGAAAACTCTTGAGATGTGGTGATCCGTAGGCGCAAGAGTCACATCTCTTGACACTGACATCAGCCTTCTTCTCCAAGGAGACCCAAGGGGCGAGATACCTCATCATGCCCATCCAAGGCTGCTCCAAAAGACCAGGGAGGAAAAGCCGATGGCAAAGCGAAAGAATAGCCAAAGCCCGTAGTGCAAGCTGGTTCCCAACCCTCGTCTGAGGACAGCCGAGATCGAAACCATATGGAACCTCTTTCGACCTCAGGGGCGGCCTCCTCATCAAAGAGAAGGATGTGCAGACTGGCTCTACCATCACACTCTTGAGCTGGTAGTTGGCGAGCATGTAGGTGATCCATTCCAACACTCGTGGGAGGCAAAGATCAAGCTCCCCACTGTAGGAGATGTCTATAGGAGGACCAACGACAAGGCCCAACTGCATAGCTGCCTCAGACACCCTTGCCGAACCTGCATAGACCTCGATGAAATCATACTCAAAGGCCAAGGGCCTCTCCAAAGAGGGCTTTCCATATGCGAGGTCTCCACTGCAGTCATCCTCCTCAATGCCCTCCTCCGAAACGCCAAGACGTAATAGGACCATCTCCAGCGGTGTCTTCAACCTGCTATAAGCCCCCTTCGACTTGCAAGCCCTCCAGAGGTGCCCCACGTGGACAGGATCAAGGGGAGCAGAGGTGATGGCCCCACGGCTATCGGAGGCATCAGTGGAGTAGATCTTGTCCTCAAAACGAGCTGCTAAATCAGAGACAGCCAAAGGTGCAAGCACTGAAGCGATCACAAACTCATTTGCAACCTTCCTCGACAAAGGCACCAACCTCGGATGGGCGCTGTCTACTTCATCAGCCTGAACGACACCATGGGCAGCGGAGAAAATCCCCATCAACGGCCGTCGGTATAGCATGATAGATGTCCAGGCTCCAAGTAAGCAAAGGTGAAGAGCGTCAGAAGTATAAGCCAGCTGCGCCAGTTGCAAAGATGTGACACTCAAAGCTAACCTCTTTGCAATCGGTGCTCCACAAGTCGCGACGCCCTGTGTTGCAGCAGATGGACCAGAGTTAATCTCAGCACCAATCACTTTACTCCTCACCTCTCCAACGACATCCTTCTGAGGGGAGCCCAGGATATCATAGCGGCCATAGACAGCTTTGCTACTCCCAAAACACAGAGCAGCCTTGCTCTCCTCTGCTGGTGCCTTGCGGTCCTCAACGGAAAGGGCAAAATAGTCATCGATGACAAGGCCTTCAAGCAGTGGCCCTCCAGAAAAAGGAATATGAGCCTGGAGCCTCGAGTCATCTGCAAGCAGCCCAGCGGACTTCAGCAGGTTCTCGTGCGCTTGAGTAGCAAACTCGACACCCCCACGGTCCCCTTGAAAAAGGGCTCCAAAAGAGACAAAGCACTCACCAGCCAGCAAGCCCGGTTTGTCTTCACCCGAATCAGTAAGCCAGCCGTTCGAATGCAACATGTCACCACGGAGTTCTCTCCTTTTGCCAGCGACCTTTGCTTGAGCTTCTCGGCATTGAAAGTCCAAATAGGCCTTGCAACCGGCTAAAGAGTCCAGGGACAAAGGAGGCCCAACAGAGTTTGCAACTGCCTTGTCGTAGCTGACCTTGAACTGGTGGTAGAAGTCCTTCCTGTCAGTACAATAAATCCTGATGCACTGTCTTCTCGGATCAACCAACAAAAGGTCAGTAAGATCAGACCCGCTCGGCAGCATAGAGGACGGCCCTGACAGCCTGTTCTCAGAGAAGTTCCGCCCTCTCCTATCACCAATCTGCCGGTCGGTGTCAAAGTCCTTGTAGTTGTTGAAAACACGAGTCAACCAAAAAGGCTTCTGAGGCTCTCGGTGGATCACAAGGAGGCCCTGCACATCCCAGATCTTTGCTAAACGTTCAACCTCTTGCGGATCATCTGTGGTGCCAGGCCAAGCACCTGCAGGAGGAATGCGTTCTGTAGCAAGCAATGCAGGACACCTGTAGGCCATACATAGGTTGTCAACAAGGAAGTCAGTGGCATCAAAAAGACCTCTGCCTGAGAGCTTTAGACGTGAGGCATCTAGTGCGCGATAGGGCCTGAGCTCAGGTAAAGCGTCTGAATCCAGCGGCACTTCATGCCCTTGAAAGTTGCGTGCATAGGGGCCACATGCTCCCAGCTTCGTCACCACACTTGAAAGTTCTCCAAGACGTGCAAGTAATTGGGGAAAACGACGGCCACTGGCCAGAACATGAATAGGGCCACAGCCAGGGCCATCCGCAGCCAAAATGCCCATGATCTTCTTGTAAATACTGCGATGAGCAGAGGTAGGGCATCTCGTCAGCAAGCACTCACTCGGGAAGGCTTTCATTCCATCGTGGAGGAAGTTCAGGGCCATACAAATAACATGCAGAGCTCTCTTCAACAAAATCCTCCTCCTCGATCGGAGTGAGAGTCCTGACGGCATCCTGTCGAAAATGCCTGGATGCGGCACTGGGACAGGGAAGAGCTGCGGCGTCGAAGAAGAGGTAGATCTCCGAGGCAACTTGAGAGAAAATGACAAAAAGGCTGAGAAGGGCGTGCGAGATCTCAAGACATTTCGTGTCAACGTAGCACACCAGTCCCAAAAAGTGAATGTATGGGGAACCTTCGATGAAGCAAAGAGAGCATTGTCCCCAGGCTCGACATCACACTCCCCAATTGCAGGAACTCCAAAAAGATGATGCTCCTCGTGAATTCTGACAGGGTCTCGACCTTCAAACGCCGTCTCGGCGGTCTGGCCCTCCATGCAAGGTTCACCATAGGTCACTGCTGCTGCCCCCCTTCCTGAGGGGCCTTTGGCCGTCGAGGGAATCTGGGCTTCCTCTTTGGAGATGGTGGACTCCCTGACTCGGTCTCGGTCTGAGTCTTTGGAGTAGCCGGTTTCTTGGAATCTGGCTTCTTGTTCGAGAGCACCTCCAAATCTTTGAGATACCCCAGAGTCGTCGCCGTCCAGGCAGGAGGAATGAGGGGCGAGAAAGGCCGGCTCGTAGAAGTGATAGCCATTGTTCTCTCTTGAAACATGGTGACCGGAGGCTCCTCGAGTAGACTGATCAGGTAGGCGACGGACCAGTCGCCATTGTCGAAGTTTGCCTGTTCGACAGCCATTGCTAGCAGAGCCAAGTGGTCGCGACACCCAGCCATGTCGTTTCGAGCGGCCGCATCCATGAGCCACAATCCATTGAACCAGGCCCAAGCTCCTCTGATTGCGATATCCTCCGGACTTCTCCAAATATTCTAAGAGCGAGACCGACTCCAACTCCTCCTCTGTCTTTGGAAGCGGCCGTCCAGGCCGTAACTTTTTGTGAACTTGCTGCATGAGGAGGAGAAAGAAATTCCCTGTACGACTGGCCAGCTCTGACTGCAGCTTCTCTCTTCTCATCACTTCATTGAAGATGTAGTCGTAGAGCTTGATGACAACTCTGCGAGGGGATCTTGCTGTGTCAGATGGGCCACCAAAGCTGTAATAGCCGTCGACTGCTGGCTGAGGGCCGTGACAATCTGGCCAGAATCCTGAGCTTGGTCCGTTGCACCCAACATGAGAGCATCCGGTTCTTCTGGTCGAGCAGGAGCAAGGACTGGAGGCGTCCGGTGCATCTGGGTCTTTGGAGGCGGCCCCACGACCTGAAGGACTTTGGGCACGGACAAAGGAGGTCCACCCCCTGAAGGCAGGCCTTCGGACAAGGCCGGAAACTTGACGGCTCTGCCAGTTGGCTGTCCTGCTACATCTTTTGCAGAGGGAGATGCACGTCCAGCTTTCTCGAGAGCATCCTGACGAACTGAGAGAACCTGAACTTGACTCGCAATGAGGTTGAGCTGCTCCATGATGGTTGCATTTGTGATCCTCTTTGCAGCGGTAGCCTTCTTCGGTCCGCCCTTCACTGCAGGCGGCGCTTTGACATCCGGGTCTTCTTGAGCCGAATGAAAAGGGGCGCCTCCCTCATACTTGTCCGCAATCCATGTCTGCACTGCCGGAAGGAGCGAAGACAGCTGAGGAACCGCTTGAACAGCAGTCTCGTGAAAAGGGTGGATCACTGCGTCTGAGTCAGTAACGGGGTCATACTCCCTGCAATGTTCCAGGATTTCATTCCCAACATCAACGACTGTCACCGGACCACTGAGGCCCAGGGGGATAGTGCTGCCATCATCAGCCTCCTCCACAAAGGGTACCTCAAACATTGTCCCAAAACCCAACCATGTTGGGAAGCCAGCTGGGTATTCGCCTTCAAGGACCATAGCGTCATCAAGCAGGCCATGAGGCAGACAAAGGAGAAGACCTTCAGCACGCCCCAGTATGGGAACTCCATAGGCTTCCACAGGTGCTCCTGTAGGCAAAAAGTCCAGGCTGACGACCAGGAGCGAGAAGTCAGCCTCACCTGTAGCCATCCTCACTTGTGAGCTTTGCATTGAAACACAGGAGGTGAATCAATGCCAGCTGCAGCGCAAAACACTTGCACTTCTGTAAGCGAAGGGAATCCTTGATACACTGGGCCTTCACGAGCGTCAGGAAGAGAAGCCAGAAGACTCCTAAGCTCCGACACACGGCGAACTCTCACGGGGCTATTCAGAGTTGGCGCCCTGAGAACCACCCAGATCGTGTCCGACAACGAAGGGAGTGGGTCCGCCACCTGATACTCAGTGTGTGTCGAGACTGCTACCCACGCTGCAAATCCAGCTTTCCACGCCCTCTGAACTCGCTCACTGGGCTGACCAACCACCGATGAGATCTTGCTGGATGCGGCAGCCAAGAGAGTAGGAGGAATGGGAGGAACTCCCTCTTCCACTCCGGTGATGCTCTTCGGAACTGCCCAAGGGACTTCAACAGCAGGCTCAACCAACTCCCACCCGGCCTGGGTGATGATAGGTACCGAAACACTTGTAGCCGAGGAAGAAGTAGCAGCTGCCCCTCTTTCGAAGGCCAAAGCCAACCTATTCACTGCTTGCACCAGGTCCTCAATGTCTGCTCGGGAGACAGGCCTGCTCATTCACGGTACTGGGCAAGGCGAGCTCGTCTGACCAGGTGTAGTGGCCGGGCCAGCACCTCCGACACCTCCGGTCCACCTCCAGCAGGATGCAAAGGGGCGACACGAAAGAGATTGGCCAAGGAGAAGGCAAGAAATCCAAGTCCAAGGAGTGCCAAAAGGGTGCCGAGCAAGATCCCAGCCAGGAGCCAGGGCAGGCAGGAAGGGCTGCAGTGGATAGGACACGAAAAGCGGAGAGAGAGGTCAGAGAAGGTAGAAAGTACCTCGGCGAACCTCGCGACCCGGTCAAACATGCCTTGAGCACGAAAAGGAAAGTCAGATTTACAGAATCATATTACATGCTTGCACTATCAAACAAGGAATAAATATGGTTTTGGTTGGCTGAATTTGGCTTAACTTTTTGATCGTCTGCATTTAAACTATTTTAAGTTTAGTTTTTTCTAAATAATCCTTGCTTCTGAAGAGTTCAAGGCGACTTGGATGACTCTACCTTCGCTAAGGTGCGGAGGGTGAGACGAGGGGTGCTTGACAGCTTGACAGCCAAACAACAATTCAACCAAGAATTCACTCTCTTTTGGATGTGTCTGCTGAACTTCCGTGATAGGCAGTCCTTACCCTTGAAGAAATGAAATGAGACCGGTGTCTGTAGAACTTCAGTAGCAAAGCAAACATCGAAGCTAAGAAGCGAAGGACAGATCAACAAACATTTAGATATACAGATATACAGTATAACTTAGTTTTTTTGGCAAGGTACAGTGAGGGGAGGTGGGGGCGGGCTGCTTTGGCAGTTAAAAAAAAGCTGGAGGGGGGATTGGGCAGCTCCTCCCCCCAAAGAATGCCAAATAGTCGTGTAGCAGAACAGACAAATAGGCAGAGTAAAGAAATGGAAGAATTCTAAGGGACTTAGATGGCGTTACCTTCGCAAAGGTGCGGGAGGTGGGAGAGGGGTGGAGGATGCTTGTCCCCTTATTGCATACGGTATATAGTTACCGTAAGCAGATGTGGCACACACCGAACACAGTGAACAAATCCCTGTGGAACACAAGGGAATTTCTTGCTTCTTCGCTCTGACATAGTTTGCTATTGAGTTGTCTCAGTCTGGGATGTGACTGTGTTTGGAATTTGTTGCCGCTATGTTTAGGGTTCGTTGGCGAAGTGCCTAGGCTTGTTGCAGTGTGTCCACCTTTGTGGCGCTTTCACAGCACGCAAGCAAAGAATAGGAAAAAAAACATAATAGTTCCGTGCGAAACCGGACAGCAGTGAGATGCAATGCGTTTAGCATCTCACACAGAATGATGGTTATTGTCAAGATCACGGAAGCACCAGCTACAAGAAAAGCACATGTCTTCCTTCCTTCCTCTTTCTTTCATTATTTTTTCTTTAATTGTTTGTTGAAGCGGATTTGTTTGATCCCAAAAATGTGTTGATCCGGAAACGTTTTTTGGACCCCTCTCTCTCCCCCATACACAAACTTATATATAAACATCGTAAACTAGATTATCCTCAAAATATCTACGAGGTGAAGGAGCAAATAAAACGATATCAAAAGACCGGTGCTCCTCTTTGATCCTCAGAGGATGGTCAGTGACACCATGGGAGGCGTAAGCACGTGCGACAAGGAGGACTCCCAAGATCAGCATCATCGCACTGAGCCAAATCTGATGCGAAACGCAGTTAGCACTGAGCCAAGTTGATGAACAATGATCAAGATCAACACGTGATCGGGGAACCCTTTGCCGTGCTCGAATGACAACAGCATTCAGCTCTTTCCCACGCACATCATCGCTACTCAAAGCGAGAGCTACTTCTTCCTGGAGCTCTCTGGGGGCTTGGCCTGAGCGATGTCCTCAAGCCGAGGATCAAAGAATTGATCAGCTGCCCAGCATCCAGAAGGCTAGCTGACTAGCTGCACTGCTTAGCTGTTGCACTCATGAGGCTTCGAATTACCGCCCGGCTCATTCGAGCAAGGCCCATTATCACATCGGAGTGGGCGCTCTCTGATGCCTTGATCATACATGATAAATCATGACAAATCTGATTTGAACATGGTCTCCCTGTAGTAATCAGCTGACCCCTCTATCCACCGACAATGTGTCGCATTGTGTCGCACACCTGCAACAATTTTGTTCAGCGTGACCGGATCCCTAGATGGTGTCAGCAGTTTCGATCGGCATCACACGGCAACACTAAAGAGCACCAGCCGAGCCTCACGCAGTGAGGCTCACTCCGGGATGGGAGGAGCCACCTCGACCCGCACCAGCACCTGGCAACGGCTCGTGGATAAACCGCTGATGCTACACCGCTCAATGAGGCAAAGTGAGGCCGGCGGCTGGCCTCTTTGGTTGGGCTGGCCATAATGGCAGGGAAGTCGTTGAACGACAAGGGATCGAACATGAGCTTGTCGTCCTCAGCCCATGAACTTAGACTGGCTCATCCCTTTTGAGGTGCTAAGGCCAACCCAATGAAAGTCGAGCGAGTCAAGGCACCAAAAAGAATTGGAGACGTCCATATTCCTGAGCGAAATGCCCACAAATTTGAGTTTGCTTCCTCTGTCGTCCAACAACCTCCTCGCAAGGCCTTGCTGTTTCCCAAGATTCGTCAGGTTCAAACATTCAGACCTCTCCTGGTTCTTGAATTCTTGTGGTCATTCGAGGTCCTTCTTCACATGCAGCTGAGGAACAATATCAGTCTGTCTAGATACTTGGCCCTTTGCGTAGGCAACGTCGTGGCCAACATTGCAAACCTGGCGACTGTGGTTTTGCAAGACTGACGACAATGTCCTTCAGCAACGATACCATGGCCCAACCCTACACCCACATGTGTTCAGGTCAGGTCTCAATCCTGCCAAGTGACAACTTCTACCCGCGAACCAATGGACAAATCCTCAGTCCGGGAGTTCCGGCTCGCGAGGCTCGCGGTCAGCAGTCATGGATGGTCACACATCGTCACAAGGCCGATCCAGTAAGTCCGTTTCAATTCCAGTGCATCAAACGTCATCAAACCTGAGCACCTTGATAGTCTGTTTAAAGGCAAATGTCAGTCTAAAAATGTCTAAAGCACTGAAAACTCCATTCTTCCAGCATTTTCGGGTTCGTGTTTGATGCCAAGCTACACAGATCAGCTTGAGCTGCTCACCACGCAGCTCTGCCTCTACTCGATCGAAAGAGGTCCTGGGCGGCTGCTCTCATAGACTCATAGATTCAAAAGTATTGTATAAATCATCTGTCATGCTTCATCTACGGAACCTACCATTGTGCGGTTCAAACACAAATAATCCGATCTTCCAGGAGCCACTGGCAGGCTTGCGAGCATGCGCTTTCGCACTATTAGATGTTTGATTTTTGCTGGTGCAACTACCATCCAAGCAGATTGCAGTAAAACCTCTTCCTGGGTCTAGTTGGTTGGGCTGACTCTTGATTGTCGAATGGACGTCTTTCTATTGCTTTGGTCGTCAGTTTTTACAAAGCTGGACTCCAGAACTTTAGCTCATATCTGCAAAGCAAGCGTTTGTGACAACTCAATCCACTAGGCACTCCGGCATGCCGGACTCATCGTATTGAGAGGGAAAGGCACCTGACAACTGTGCACACCATCTGGGCCAAGTTCATCTGCCACGGGTGTGCTGTGGGGGTCTCCGAGCCCATGTGAGCCATACAGGCCAGGCAGTCTGTGAAGGTCGTGTCTCTGACTCTTTACGATACCTAATTACTTGATGAGCGCGGATGTGCGAAACGATCAGAAGCTCGATTCTTTGAGCGGATGAGCGTTTGTGCTGTGGCAATGGGTCGAATGATGCAGGTTATCATGGTCATCGCTTCGGTCTTGGAATGCATCTGGTGGTTGCTCGTTGGATCAAGTTCTTCTTTGCTTCTGGCTTCCCAGCCTTGGCCATCCTCAGCCATGGCGCCCCCAGCTATCCCTCGGTCCCCCTGAAATGACGCTGCAGCGCGACAGCACAACTGGGCAAGCCAACTGGAGCGAGGCGCGATTCTGCTTGGGCAAATCACCGAGGTTTAGAGCAATGATGAGGAAACACACTGGCAATGCGTTCGTTCAATCCTACTTGGTCACTCATCATACATCTTAGCCACCCCAACAGACCAAAATGACACTCAAGGCGAACTATATACCATTGTTTGTGGGGGTGACCTTTTGACAATGCAATGAGGATCTAAAAAAATAAGTAAATAGTATATAATTAACCCGGTCAGAGGGAACTTCTTAGGAGATAACTTGCAACCCATGGTGGTTCCATGGACCGTATCGCCCTGTCTCTTTTTGGCTGTAATGTGGGCACCGCAAAGTCTCACTTGTTGCATCGCTCCATTGGCCCGACATCATCCTGATCATCTTTTCTTCTTCCTAAGTGACTTTTGGCCGCAACCCGCGAAAATCTGGAACATGAGACTTGAAAGCCGCAGCCTTCCCCTCAAATATGTCTGATGTTTACAGTACATTCTGACCGATGCGTTCCTCTTGAAGGGCGCAACTGGCTAGGAGCGTTGTGCGCCTGCTCTGCATAGCACTCTGGAGCAGGTTTGTCTCAATTTGAACCAACCCACCCCTCCGAATTCCTAGAATTTTGCTGAAAGCTCAACACCCAAGTGCACAATTGCGAGGGATAAGGTCACCCCAGGTCGCAGAAAGTCACCCGGCCGCATGGGCACGCAAAGAGAAGTGCAAAAGTCACTCGACGCGTGGAAAGTCACTCGGACCAGAGTGAAACACCATGGCCACAGCATTTTGACTAAACGAATGCCAGACTCCAACGGAGCATTACTTCACTTTTGGCTTGTTGGAGTTGAATGGGACGAATGCCTGCACAATTCAATTGAGGCCCAGTCTGTTGCGGTTCAGTTCAGATGATATTGCACTTCAACCTGGGGGTAATTTGGTCGAAGAAAGTTCGATCACAACAGAAACTTGATTGGAACCTCTCTCTTTATCCTGTCCACCCCTCCCATTGAATTTGCCTCCCCACAGCGTTCCGCTGAAATGTGATGAAATGTGTCATGTCTTCACTGCCCGAATCCAGTCACATTTGCGGAGCCCGCTCGGGCCATAGATGGACATCCAAAAACCTGACTGACAAGGCGCTAGCCCCATCCACACCAAGGCGCTTCCATGCACCTCCTCTCTTGGTGCTTCTGGCACCTTCATGCTTCCGCTTTCCGTGGCCGCTGTACAAGGAGGCTTGATTTCCTGAGGCAAGTGGCCAAAAGATCTCGCGGCAGGACAAAACCAGGACATTCGTTAGGGTCCTTCAACCCACTCAAAACTTTGCTATCTGTTCTCAATACCTTACCCTTCTCCTGTGTCTAAGTCTATATGGATGCCAAAGGGGCAGCAATGGGTAGCAAACCGAAAATGCAACCTACGAAATTTTAGAACGACACAACCGCTCTCTCATTGAACAGCAAGAGTCGAGCGCCGACCTCAAAGTTCTTTTTGCCTGTCCATTCTTGCCTTGGCGGGTCCAAGTTGTGAAAAGTGGTACTGTATGTGTCAGTCGCATCTTGGAAGTGCTGATCATGAGCTTTCTGGCTCCTGGCATGCCCCAACTCCCAGCTACAATGGTTTCAGAGCAGGTGGTGGCACAATCCCCAAAAGGTGGTTTGTACTATGAACCCTCTTCTAAAAGACTTTGCGCCATCTACTTTTGAAACCAATGTAACTCTACAGTTTGCCTGAGTCACTTCAAGGCCTCACTCTTGGGATCGCCAAGCGGCACTTTCTGATCCCTGAGGATGGTATCCAAGAAGCTCCTCCCACTGTGAGCCGTCACCTCAGGTGTCCTGCTGTGAAGCCCGGCCGCCGCCATGCCTCCGCCGACCTCGGTGGCAATGGTGAAATACTTCGGCAACTCCTGGCTGTCGTTGGCCTTGTAGAACCTCAGGCACTTGCCGACTGGTTTTCTATAGCTCCCCTGTCTGTCCGATTGGTTCCACACCACTGGCCTTTAGACTTCTGGGAGCCTTCTAAAGACCATATGTCGACCTTGCAATCACAAGAACAACGCAAGGGCACCCAGATCCCAACTTTACCCATCAAGGCATGCAATTCAACAGCATTCAACAGCATTCCGGGTCCCTGATCAACGCTCGGGACTGCACGCAGTAAACACCCCCAGTCTGACGACCAGGTCTCTGTAAGGCACCTGCCTAGTGTTGAATATCTACGGATCTCTTCAGATGTTGATGCCCTTTAAGGCCCAGAGAGCTTCTCATCGACCTCTTCGAAGACCTCCCCCCGCCTCTTGGGATCGAAGTTCGCCCGCAGGCGCAGAGCCTTGAGCTCCTTCTCGAGCTCAGGGGTCATCTTGTGCCTCAAACGCACGTGGGACGTCTGGAGCGCGGAGCAATGCGCGGAGCAATGTGAAGCAGATCTGTCAAGAACAGCTCGGCATGGATCCGTCAATTGTTTTCTCACTTAGTCAATGCTGCGATCTACTTCATAACTGGCGCAAAAGTATTTGCAAAACTGTCAGACCAACATTCATGCTCTTGGCCCGTGAAGCCTGGCCAACGCATCAGCGCTCTCTCTTTGCCTTGCCCAGGCACTTGGGCAAACCGAACCACTTCTCTAGTTTCTCTTCGCGCTGCTCGCGCATCTCCTTCCGCCGCTCCTGACCAAGGTCAAAGATGAGGGACAAAGTGGCACCCCCCAAACTCCAAAAGTCTATCCTTTCACCCCTTGAGACTGCACGACTTCGCTCCAGCCTTGGCATCGTGCACCGGCCGCACCGGAGCACCTCGCACCTCTCGCCGCGGCGCAGGCCGCGCGGCGCCGCGCTCGGCCGGCTTGGAGCCGCAAAGGCGACTGGTCGCCTCGTCGTAGACACCTGTGGGTGTCGAAAGAGCCGAAGGTGTTGGAGGGTGCTGAGTGGTACATCTTCCATCTCCACGCATGAGACTTCCAGGCACAGATGGACAAAGAACTGTGCGCAATCACTGCTTCACAAATCCGCCAAGGTCATGGTATGCCCTGACAAGGGAGGCACCTCACTTTCGCACACATCTCGAACTCAGATTCACAGTGTGGCTGAGCCTTTTCACACATTGACACTGCTTGACTGACTGACTGACTGACTGACTGACTGACTGACTCCCTCTCCTCTCGTCTCGTCTCGTCTCATCTCATCTCATCTCATCTCATCTCTCTCATCTATCTCATCTCTCCCTCCATCACCTTCAGATCACTGGGGCAACTAGTTCATTTCAATGGTCAGTCGCCTTTATAGACTTTTTCGGTGGGATCATCGTCGGTGTGTTGCAAAAAAAATATATATGCAAGTCGGTCATGCCATTTCTACATAGTCACTCTTTTCTCATTCTCAGTGTTGGTAAAGACTTGGTTGGTCAAATGTCTGCATTGCTGGTTTCAATCGCTGCTGGAATTTTAGTTACCGCCATCCCTGTCCCCCCAAAAAAAGAAACAACAGAACTCAAGATCCTGATAGCAAGCTCAATTCCGCGCGTCCGGCCTGGCACGGCCGCTGTATTGAAAGCATTATTACCTCAGGCGTGGAGAGAGGCCAAACGACTAAGTCTCAGAGAGCTTCATGTGGACATGAGATAGCCTGGCACAGCCGCGCACTGCCTTTTGCCTTTGAAAAGGGGAAAACACCACACTCATGCACCGTGCTTCCCTGTTACTACCTTCATTGAAGCCCGCCTATGTAGAGGCTCGGCTCGTTTTGGAAAACCCGAACGATGGCAGGGGAGCGAGTTGGTGATGTTTCACACCGACCATCCACGGCTGTCGGGGAGAATTGAGGCAGCGAACATCTGCGATGAATTTCAAGAGAGCATAACAGAACCAACCCAACAATCGAAGATCCAAAAGCCAAGACGCATGGGAGGTACAACTGCTCCTCTCCCAGACCAAGATCCAGTTTTAGATGTCCAGGACTTTGGCGCTTTGCCACCTTTAAGGCATAGTCTACAGCTTTCTCTGCAATCGCCTGAGTAGGGCGATTGAGGCGGTTTAAGTGTTATGCTATGCACGACAACCGCCATGTGCACTGTCAAGGCCCATCAATCTTGCTCGCCCCGGTCACCTCAAAGTCCACTTCGGGGTCGTCCACTGGTTCTTCCTCCTCCTCCTCTTCCTCTTCCTCTGCTTCATCTTCTACGCCGTCTTTCACCTTTGCGGAGGTCTCAGGCTCTTCTTTGGTCCCCGGCGCATCGCCATCGCTCTTACTCTTGGCCATGGCAAGGGTGCCAATGCTAAACTTGCATGCGTTTTTCACTTCTTATATATATATAACTATATATATATAACTCTATCGGCTTGTTCATGCTGAGTGTGCCCTGGCTCTTCCACAAGGCAAGGGATTCGTAGATACCCACAGTCGGAGTCACCCTTCCCTTTAGGTTCCCTTGGAAAGTCTAAGGTTTACACGACACCTCGATCGATCTCAGCTTTTCGGGTGCTGTGTGCAGAGGCTCTTCAAAAATGGTTGCAAGTCCTAAGTCGCACACGCTTGAGGGATGGCCTTTTGCAGGGCATCGAAAAAAAGGTACGCTACAGGGAGCGAAGCAAGAACGCCACTAGCTACTGGGACGCAGCGAAGGTTTTGCATGATTGATTTGGCTCCACTAGTAGAGCTATACATATAAAAAAAATATATATATATATATAGGAAACTTAAAGTAAGAACATGAATCAGATCAAACCCGCCCCCCTGCCAAGACCGTAAGCCGTACCGGGTATTACGAGCCAAGCCCAGGCATGCATGTGTCTCAAGGAGCCGATCCTCAAAACAGTCCAAGGGTCTGAGATGGTTAGGACCGGCTAGGAGAATCTAGGAGGTACAGTCATCCGTTCATGGTACTTGGAGGGGTGCTGCTTTTATAGCTCTGCAATCGAGACCGAGAACTACTTTTGGCAATGCGTTAGACATATCGCTCTGGCTGACTCTGACCTGTATCCAGCATGCTGGGCAGCTTTTGGGCGCATCCTCTTTTTTGCTCCACACGGGCCAGCCTCTTGAGCTCGCTACCCGCCAATAATTGGCGGATCCTCTCAAAGGAGCCGCTAAAGTGCTAACCAAAGCTAGCAAATAACAGGCAAAAGGAGCACAACACCCAATAGAATAGGAAAAGCATCTGAACTACGTCTTCACCCCTTTGGGGGAGATGAGCTGATGCTGATATCTACACAAGGTTTCCACGAAAGCATGCAAAAGCGACACCTTCTCATGAGCACTTATGACCTAGGGTGGCAACAAAGCTCAACCGGTGAGAACACCAACATTGTCAACTGTTGAGAAACCCCCTGAAAAAGACATCTCAAAAGCAAACCCATGTTCAACCAAAACAGGAACTTTCAACAGGTTGACTGGGGCACATCGTCATGTTTCCGGCCTTTGGACTTCTGAGGCGCCTACTGGTTTAGCTCCCGGACTTTGAAGGGTGCAGCGCGCACCTGGGCGCTTCGCATCGCTAGGAAGGACCACAGGAAGGTCCACGCACGCGGTGAAGCGACTCAAAGTCATGCAAAATAGTTTCATCGACGGACAAATCACCCAAAAAAACATAACGTAACATGTCTTCCGGATTGCGGGTAGGTGGCCAGCTCGTCAACTGCATGAAGTTCGATGATCGCGCATGATTGCGCCAAAGCGATGGCAATCGGATTCCGTAAAGCATATTCAAAAAAATAGCTCTTGCGCTTTCAAGTCGCCTCCAACCTGCTCTGCGACACTGCTTTGGTCAAGTGTGGCTTCTGCTGTCGCTGCTCTTCTGCGATCTCGATCTCCAAATCAAATGCACCTTGATCGAAGCAATGACTGCTAAGTGGCCCTCCCACAAAGCGGAGGAGCGCACGATTGGAGGTAAGGCCTATGTAGGGCATCCACAGGCCAGGACAAAATCTACCTGACCCTTCACCAAAATCACTCCCTCCAGTTCAAGTAGCCCCATGTACAGTAACTGAGAAATGCCCAGACAACCGAGCTGCACCACTGCTCAAGCCAAGGGACTTCGACCCCAAACACTGTCAGGGCAAACAGGACTCAGCTGCTGCTCACCAGTCCTGCTTCGGCACATCCTGCCAAAAGCTGTGACTCCCAGCCAATCTCAGTCCAGCATTCTTTGGAAGCATTAAACAATGCGTTACAGCAACCTGTGAATTCCGAGACTGGGTTGTCCGTATTCGCAGCACATTCCCATCCTGCATTGAAGGCCACTCTTCAACAGTAACCTCAGTTTCTTCAAGTCTTCGCACCACAAATGGCCGACGGACTATGAAAGCTATGAAATCGTTGCATGTGACAATAGCATTATTGCTGAACCAAGAAACAGCATGAAGAAGAAGATTGATGAGGCCAATATTGCCTGGTGGGGTGCGGTGAGCCGGCTTTCTAACCTCCGTCGGTAGCTGCACCTTCGCCAGACATTAGGGAGATCTTGCTTTGGGCTGCTCTCTGCGCTCTTGCATGTGGATGAAAAGAATAAGACCAAGACTGAGGCTAAGAAACGGCCAAATCCACAGCCACATGGCCACATAGGGGGGTTTCCCTGGTTTTCCACTGGCCCTTTTAGGACAGCCAAGCCGCGCTGCACGTGATCACGGTGCCATAGACCCAAGCCATGAAACCACCACCCAGCTCGAGGGAGTCCTGGAGGGTCCCGATCCGACCCAAAAGAGCCCGCGGTGGTAGAATCGTAGAAAAATCGCAGAAACCCAACCGTGCAACCGAGCAGAATCTCCAAACCAATCATGATCTGATCATATCTGATCTATATCCGATCCGTTTGACTTCACTGCTGAGCACTCAGGCTCACTCAGGCCGCGCGCGTCCGCGCGCCGCCAAGGACGGCAGTCTTCGACACGACACACAGTAGCGGTCCCACTCCAAAAAGCGCTGAGAATCCAAACCACTGTTGACGGCCTAGACATGTGGCACATTCGTGATCAGTGTCCGTCATTGTCCATCTGTCCTCCGTTTGGCAAAGCTGGACTCCAAACACTCAATGTTCCCGATTCAATCGGGCGAACTTCATTGAGCTGAGTTCACTGGTCGGTTAGGGAGATTGGAGCCCTGCACGCAGGGTTTCTTCCCGGACATAACTTGTCGGTTCGTCAGGTTGAACGGAGAAGTATCAAACCGGGGTTTCTTGGGGAATACTGAAGGTCCGGTCCGCTCACTTCAAGCTTGTGCAAACAAGGACCTCCAGCTTCCGGCGCCTCGTACAAGTCTGCCCAGAAGCGCTGGGGGTCCTCTGCCCACACTTGGTTCCACGCTGAGACCTGCCGGAGTGTTCTAGAAGCCGCGAAACACTCACCCGCCCAATGTGCCACGCGTCGAATTGGATCAGAGACATGGATGACCAAGGCTGTTGCAGCTCGAAGTGATCAACTCGGGATGCACACACTGTCCAGTGTTCTGCTCACGTCTTTGGCAAAGATGCTAGAGACGAGAGGTTGGGTGACATGCCAAGCTCTATGAAGGAAGGAGAACTATGAGTTGTGACTACGACAGGAAAGTCACATCATATCTCCTGCATGACTGCTTCTGTGTATCACACAAACGATCTACATTACCAAAAGCTCGCCCAGGGATGACTAATACGAATAGAGTACCGGTAGTACAGTCAATTCCAAGCTGAGTCTGCCGGCTCTGCAAGACGAATGCTTGTGACTAGCATATGCTGCCGCTGGTCACGCCAAGGTGTCCCAAACGTCAGAAAACATTGCGCTTTCGGTGCGTCGCGCGATCTGGCACCTCAGGAAGCTTCGACAGAACGAGCGGCAAATTGCAGCGGATCCCAATGGAAATACCTGCATCCCGCACCATGCAGTCCACCTTGATGAGCAACCACACCTGCCAGGGCGATCACATGCGATCACAAGAGAATTGAGACACAGCAGTCCAACAAGCCACCAAAATGATTGTACAAACAAAGAAACATAATCCTGCAACAGTTCAACAGTCGCCAAGCCCACCTGCATTTTTGCAGATTCGCTCATGCCATAGTTGCTGCTGAAGCTCAAGAATGCTGCCTTGGCCCCTCCAATGAAGAGCTCAAACCACTCTTTAAGAAAGGTGTACTGGATAGCCAACATCCCCAGGGACTCGGGCTTCAAGTGCAAGGGCTCAGGCAGCTGCACGGAGAGGAAGTTGGAACCTTCCAGGTAGCCCTCCAAATCAAACTTCTGGAGCTCGAAGTGGCCATCCGTCGGGTTACAAAGCTCGCCCGACAGCGTCCGGGTTTTCCTCGTTTATTGAAACATCAGACTCGGACTGGTTGCAAACTACTTCGAACATCTGCAGGGCTACAGTGAATTGAATAGAATGGACTTCCAATATAGATGGATAGATTGGACTTCTGGAATGAATAGGCGTTCGTTGCGTGAAACGGATGGCCTTCCAATAAACCGACACAGCCAATCACTGAGGCCTCCGCCCAACCAGCCCCATGGAGAAGTTTCCCATGGCATCGATTTCTTCGATGGCCAAGTCCATAAATCTGCAATATGCACTCGGAAAACCATGCTGGCTAAGATGTTGCTTGAAGAGATTTTAACACGGTGTTGTCCTTTATATAACTGCACCAACTGCCCAGCAGTTCTCCCAGCTTCCTGACTGTTGACTCAATCAGCATCTCGAGAAAAATATACGGGCGACGTCCACCATGGTGTCCCTTTCAAGTCCTGTTTGGCTGATTTAACCTGTCAAACTGAATCGCTCAATCTCATGAGCCAAGTTGAACCCTGCCTGGTCATGAAGGAGCTCAGGAAATATTCCTGCACCGAAATGCGGAGCAACCGAGCTTGACTCATGATACTCATGTGACATGACATCGTGAACAGCAGGCAACACACACAACAAAAAATAACATGGGCCGCCACGTGCGCCAGCTGTCCTGCATGTCTGCCAGAAGAAGGTCCGTGGTGTCTAATATACGCATGGCAAAGAAAATGGAGAGGCCGCCAGCGACCAACAATGTCAGCATTAGCCACTTGGTGCAACGGCCGAGTGACAAAGCTGAGGCCCTCAGCGACTCAGTCTTCTGGCAAGTTGAACTTAGCTATCAATGAAACCCCACCTACCATTCCCTTGCTGCCTGTTTGCTCATGCCAGTTCATGTCAAGATACCACTTTCTGACTCGAGGCGAGAACTGGTAGAGGAGCAAAACCACCAATGGCGTTCCCAAAGTCAAACTGCAAAGGATGATCACTAAACGTGTCACCAACCATGATGAAAAGTCTCCTGCTAACTGCTTGCCGCTTTTCCTCGACTTCTGCCGGAACAGCGTTCTTTGCTCCAACATACGTCGTTGGCCATCACTCGCCCACCCTGCTCGAGATGTGGTTGTCGTTGTCACCCCAATCATGCCCATGCACTTTAGGTCTAATTCTGTCAATGGCTTTGTGTCGTTTTGGTACCTCTCCAAAGCGTCTTCATAAGTATCCGTATTTTCCGCGCTGGCCCGTGCCACCAACCCGAGCACCATCACACCCAGTAGGCTCATGGCAAAATGGCTGCAGGGCCCCCTGCCCGACATCTTCATTTTGCTTAGGGCCCTCTACTCTACATATTGCTCAGTTGCTGCAAGCCGGAACGGCAAAGACTCCTTCCAACGACAAAGCATACAAAACACACAGCTTGCCTAAGCCAAGGCAGTAGGGCCGCCACAACAGGACCCGTTTTGAGACAAACATCGTTTCATGTTTGGTGCGCGTACGTCGGAGCCATTGACAAGGCAGAACATGCAGCGAACATGTGACATGAACAGGTTAGATCGCAGCCAGTGGGCAATCAGCAATCAGCAGTCGGGTCAAGCAGCTTCAACCTCGCTTGTCCTCGACTTGTCAGAGTGCCAGGCGTCAAGCTCTCCCTGCTTGCGTCGCAGCTCCCCGCGCAGGTGCAGCGCAAACCTGGATCAAACTGGTGAGTCGCGATCGCTGTCAGGTCCCATGGAGTCATTTCGTGGGCTCGCCAGGTGACTTTGAAGTGTCCATGGTCAACTTCTAAAATCAGTTCCAATCTCCACTGGCAATGTATGTGCATGTGATTGCATGTGTATATGGTATACTACATGCATCTACATGCTACATATTCTGGAGAGAAAAGATCGTGCGTCCTGGAGCATCTGCAAAGATCTGTGTGTGTGTCGTGGAATTCTAACTCCCTCCCAGATGGGTCCCCTGGCGTTTGGCCCGGATCCTGGCGCAAGACAGCGTCCAAATCTGCCAACGCCTCATCAGGTCATGCAACCAATCTTCGAAGAAGTCACACATGAAAAAGCGGGTTCCCTTGATTCTGTGACATACCCCAATCCTGGTTTGAGTCATGGGCCACAAGGTGAACATGAATCAACGACTTGATGAGTTGGGCCAGGTCCAGGTTCATTGTGAGTTGCCTTGATTCTCCGCAAACGTCCTATCAGGTCCTATCATACACTAGCGTGACAAACGAAGCGCAATGCATGACTCAACCCTTTTCCCACAATCAGAAGCATCAGGTCCTAGGTCCTAGGATGTCCAAACGGAGCATGTGGAGATACAGAGATCTCATCCAGCGTGCTCTTTCAATCAGGGGACCGCTATGCTCACCTCTGGCACCGTGCACTTTTCTGGCAGCTTCCTGGGTCAAGGCTGTACGATAATTCCAGGTCTTTGACAAAGGCATGGACAAGGAGAAGGTTGGGCCATTGGGAGACACTCATGACCTTAAGGCACGTGCAATCTGTTGTCGGTTGCTTCGAGAACAGCTGGAGCACTGAGAGCAGCTCAATGCCCAACCCTCAAGTAACAGTCATGAGATTGGGCCAGAAGGCTACTTCTCACTTGACTGCCGAAAGACTCCAGCGGCACACCGCTGCAAGCCAAAAGGCAAGAGCTACATGACCCTTCCACTTGCCCCTCCGCTGCTGATGATGAAATGCTCCACAATAGTCATCCAGTTGGACAAGTGCTAAGAATCGAGTGCGCCGAAGCCACATCAGCAAGTGGAAGGAGTTCAGCCTACGGACTCTCTTACAACACCCTCCATAAAGAGACGAAGGTCGCCAACATCTTATTGTGCACATTTGCCAACGCTCCAAAGGAGAAATGACGCGGTCAGTCTTTTCTACTCGTGTGCCTCTTTGTGGCCGCTGCGGCTTCTGCATTTCTCCTTGGCCTTGGGCCTCTCAAGTGTGTACATTTGCAAGGCAGCTTAGTATCCTGGCGGTGCCCTTGGCAATCCATAGCCTGTCAGGCAAAGACTCTCCTGACGTACTTCTGAGCAAACCGTCCAATCTACTCTCACGATGTTTCGTGCTGTTGTGACTGGTTCCAGCCTCCACCATAGCCAGCTGCCGGTCTGCAACATGGGACCTGCAACTGACGACAGCAATCGTTCAAGCAATGCCACGTGGTCCTGTCCCACCAGGGCAAGTATGAAACCAGGGACCTGCAAAAGCCCGCAGTGGGAGGCAAATGAAAGCCCCTGGGTCAGTCCCATGTCTTCGTAATGCCACGTCCGTCTCTCTCCAGCCTCAAAGGACATGCCAGGCGTCAGGCCTCCAGGAACGGTCACAGAGATTTGTTGACCATCTGGCACCTTGTGCAGGGCCCAGCCACGAGTTCCCAGTCCCAAAAAACCTCCCCTTCTGGCCTGTTGCTCTTCAAGATGGCATGGCTAGCATAGCACCCGCACAAACAAGCATTCCTCCTTTGACCCTAGATCTTCCATGCAGGCTACAAACTCGAACTCAGCAAGTACCGTTCGCCCACGCTCTCCTCACCTCTTACCTGGTCTGACTCCTGTAGCCAAGGCACCGTAATGCTGATCTGCGATCCAGCCTGTGTAGCTGCTGAGCTCAACCCTAGTGAGAAGCTGTAAGACTGTAAGAGTGCCTATCCACCTTTCCAACTGAAAGAAAACGGACACCATCGCTACCCTGCAGAAGATGTTCCTTTACTAATGTGCTTTCTGTCCAAGTCGTTGTCCAACTTGCACTCTAAGGGGGACGACCACCATGTGAGGGCACTTGACGTTGTGCTACTCTCAAGGGCAGAAATCTGTCAGGAGCCATCAGAAAGGCCACAAGGACTGCCATCAATGTGCATTAGTGGGTCCTAAATAAGGACAATCACCGTGCCTCACATCCCTCAGGAACAGTGACAGACAAGGTGCCTTAGCAAATCGATGTTCTGCGCAGAACAGGAAAGCACAAGTCAATGACCTAAACGAGACATCATGCTGCTGACATCTGCTCACCACAAGGCTATTTGCATAGCATGACAAGCAGGATATCTACTCTTTGATGCTTGTTGCGGTAGACACTTTGAAAAATGAAAAAGCAAATGGGAAACCCGAACAGTTGAACGCATTCAAAGAACATCAGCGGGTATGCCCGAGGCCTCGACTAATCTCAGGAGGGCCGGCAGGAACTCTGCTCTCATCAATTTCGATGTCCACGACCTGCTTTGAAGAGAAGGTTCGGTCCTTGTTGACCAGCCGTCATGCTGCATAAAGGGCAAGACTCAAGACACAATACAAAAAACAACTTGCTTTCAAATCTTTCAATCAGTGACTAACCCTGCGACTGGCTGCCGCTTTGTCCAACTGGACCCCCCAGTGTGCATCAGTATGGTCAGGTTTGGTAAGAACGACTGCCGGGACAAATCAACCCGAAGCTGCTCGAACCTCCAGGTCGGTGGGAGGAGGAGGCGGCAGCGCATCTGAGAAGCAAATCGTCTCTCTTGCTCTGAAGTCGCATGTTTAGAAGCAACGGCTACTTTTGGGAGAGCAGATCTTTGAATGCGGCCGCTCCGCAAATACCAGCTGCAAGGATCCATGGTATATCTCATGGTGAGAATCAAAGAGAAACAGCGCTTGTGCCTTTGGGCTTAGCTTCTTGAAAGCTCGCCAAAATGGTCTTCATCATGCGCTCCTGCCGGCAACATACCCCTCCCCTAGAACTGCATCACCCTCTGGATCTCGTGCATAGGCAAATGACAGTCCGCTCTTGGACAACTTCGATCGTCTCAGTTTTGGCAAGACCATGCAAGACATCAGACTTAGGCTGTTCTTTAATCCCATCACTCTGGGTTCTCTGGGCGCCTGCTCCACACGGCACCGCATTGAAGCACTGAAGTTCGGGTACCTCCGGCCGTCCCAGGGGCACGCCATCCCAGGAGTGTGTTGCTCCGAAACTGCTTTGAGTCACTGATCTGGGCGGCCATATGACCAGATCACAGGAAAAGGATGGAAAAGGATGGAAAAGGTTCACAGGAACTACTGAAACGAACGCAAATGTCCCCTGGAAAATCCCTGAAAGGACTGTGGGTTCCATGGGAAGATTCAGGAACTTGAGCAGTGCAGCAATCTTCAGCCCAGCAACTCCAGCTGCTGGATCCTGAGTTGTGTGGAGGGGTGCATGGCACCCCTGGCTCTGGAAACCTAGGCCCTACGGGTCTTGCACACCTTAAATGACGTAGGCTAGGACCAACCATGATGATTCTCCAGGACCAGAACAAACCATACCAAGCCAGCTGCAGAGACAGAGAGAGAGAGAGAGAGAGAGATTATTAATTCCCTTTATATATATACATATGTTATGTATATTATGTGTATGTGTATGTATATATATATATGTGTGTGTGTTATATACTATTAATATGCGACAGTTCTTGCCCCAACGTCTGATCTCAAACTGCTGATCAACAGCTTCAAGGTAAAGTGTGACAACGCGAACTGGCAACAGGAGATTGAAGAAGGTGCAGAAGCAGGCCAACAGTACAGTATATATATATACATATATTAGTATATATTCCTTTTTCCTCTGCGTGCATGACCAAGAAAGAGGGGCCACAACACCACACTGGGACAGGCAACTCCAACATCACAATCCATATCAACAGCAAGACCCGCGGCATGGTGGCAAAGCAACAGCTGGCCACCTAACAGGTACTGACAGCAGCCTGGATCACTCTGGCCAACAACACCAGCTGCACAGAAGACTAATTGCAGGGAATCCAAAGCTGGCCAAACCGCATGAGGCAACGGATCAATCATGGAATGATCCAAGTGATCAACAATAATGAGCGTGAACAACAATAGCCCCGAGAAGCAGACTCACGGTGGACCAAAGATTTGGCAGAGGTGATCAACGTGGATGAACCAAAAGCCGCTGGAACAACAGCTGAGGATCTCACCACGGGTGGCCACACCAGTGGTTGAGAGTGAGCCCAACAATGGCAAGAAGAACAGGTGCAACTCAAACACCTTTCAACGGAGCCTGGAGTTGCAGCCCACAGCATAATTCAACAAAAGCTGATTTGGCCATCTATGGATTGGCGGCAGGAGTGCGAACAGAATCAATGCCTTGGCCAACATGTATTACGGTGAACAGCTTCTCGGTGTCCATCCACCGTTCTCAGTGTGTTCTGTGTTTAGCTTGCTTTTCGACATTTGGTGATGCAACGCTTGTTTCAGCTGTTTCATGACGCCTGCACAACAATACCTTTTGTACAGCCAGGGGCCTGTACGGCTCCCTGGCTCAAAAAGGCCTTGAGCCATTTATGGAAACAAAAGAAACGAGTGCACAATAAGAGAAAGGTGCGACACCAGAGCGTGCAGTCATTCGCAAAGCCAGCCAGACAGCCAGCCAACCCACCAACCAAACAAATGATCGCAAAAGAACAGTGCCAAGCATCAAGGAGTTCATCAAATCGCCCAGGCCCGCCTGCCGTGGAGGAGCAGCTTCAAATTCCATTCCGACCGAACCGGCCTTTTCTACGCTGAAACCCGTCCAACAATCGAAGGGGATGGCATGGCCCCCTTGGAAACTACAAGCAAAGAGCTTTCCGCTTCCATGATTGGTGCTATCTTTACTCCAAGGTCCAGGTGGGATCTTAAAGAATTGCACGTGTCCGATTTTAAATGCCAGTGAGCCGCTGGCTTGCAAATGAGCACCAATGGCTTGTCCGTGTCGCCCTGCACGGTGGGTGACCGGGAAATAGACGGACCAAACTGCACTAACCGGGGATGCAGGTATGGAAGGAACTGAACTCTCGATTGGGCACTTGAGTCAGGTGATCAACCGGTGCTGGCGCCATGTAACCTACATCGAGTGGTATGAGGTCTTCCAAGCAAGTGTTTCAAAAACAGCCACAAGAAGGGAGCAGCACCTGGGATGCTTCACCGCAAAAACAAAACATACATATCATACACCCTTTCTCGACATGATTGGACATGTCCTAGCATGATTCCAGCTTCATTCCTGCCTCAGACGCGCGTGCTCGTAGCTGTTCCTTCTTCTGCTCCACATCCGCCAGCTCCCTGCATTGGTTTGAAGAGACTTGGCTATGACTATGCAAACAGCCCTTGTCAAAATGGCATGACAGCGTGAATCCCAGCAGAATCAGGTGGTATGGCCCCAAAAAGAAACATTCCACCCAGCAAAGTGGATTGCACAGCCCCAAAGGCTCGAAACTACGCCTTCCCAAGTGGCCATAAGATATGTGCTGCAAGGCATGTGGATTTCGATGAGTTTCGTGAGCCCCTCCAGTTTTTTTTCACTTTCGGTTCCCTTGGCACCTCCTGAGCTGGGCAGCCACCTGCTCTTGATCCTGGCGTTTGAGACATCTACTTGGAGCACCAAAGGCTTCAAGAAGCCCTCCAGAGGCCCTCAAAGCCATGAGTCTCTGCAATGTGTTTTGGTGCCAATGGTTGCTTTGACACCCGCCTTTGAAGTCTCACACTTGCTACGGGCGATCTGCTATGGCTATGACCCACCCCGTCCAGCTCAAACCGTGACTCATTGCCCTTGTCCTTCTGAATGAGTCGCTGCAGCTCATCGAAAAGCGCCTGGGCATCTTGCCCGAAGCCTTCCTGTGGCGGTTTGGACGATCAGAGTAAAGTGCCATCAAGTCTCCAAAATAATGGCTGGTCTTCCCGAGCTACCTCTCGGAAATACTAACTACAGTAAGATTATCTGAAAGGCGGGTCATGATGCTTTGTCTGGTGCTAGTGAGTTGCCGAGTGTCCAATCAACAAGGGCCACTGTGTTGATGTTTAGCGCCCTCCAGAATCTGGAACATCTCACCCCGGAGTCAAGAACTCCCATCAGCGCCTCCTGACAGAATTCCAGCAAACGGGCCTCGATGATGGCAGAGTACCTCAGTTCTTGGCACTTTTTTGGGAGAACATCTGCCTACATGCACTCACGCCTTGCAGTTTGCTCATCCTGGAGGACATCATACTGGCATACACTGGCGTCCACATAAATCAGTTTGTGGCAATGTCATGACTCGTAACACTACGTATTTTCATAGGAGGGATGGGAGACCTCCTTTGAGGAGACCCTCTTCATCATAAGGCTATATGTCCATTAAGAGGTCTCACATCCCAAATTTGAACAACCGTCAGGAGAAGAAACAAAGAGCGCACCAGTCACTCTTTTTGCACGCACACTTCACGTCTTCCCAAGGGGTCACACACCTATTCCTGTAGACTTGGGTACCTCCCTAAGAGTCAAGAGCAGTTATGAGGCAGTTACTAGACCGGAATCCGGCATGCCCCCATGTCATAACCACTACGAGTATATTTATTTTTACTTTATATCTAATAGGAGGAAATGGCCCACCTCTAGACTGACCTTATCCTCCGATGCTTTTGTTCCAGAAGTGGTGACAAAGCTCTGCCAATGCATGTTTTTTAGCCGAAGGGGCTCCTGGAAGGCGGCATACTGTTCATGTGTATGGCCATGGTTCTGCAGATCCTGTACCTGCAGTATGCTTGTCTGACGAAGGTTTGTATAAAGGTGTGGTGACGTGACAATCTCTAAGGTGTCAAGACGATGTGATCTAACGTCATTGAACCTTGACTGCGCACCTGGCTTCTAGAATTCATCAAACCAAGCCTCCTGGTCGAAGATTGGCATGCACTTGGTGTAAAACCTTCGGGAGCTTGCGCTTATAATGCCGAGTCGGAAAACACACCATGGCACATGACCATGTGTGTCATGCGCGTCACTGTGGAAGACGACCTCTCAATGTTGTGAAGCCCGATGTTTCTTCTATATCTGATACAGGACGCACGGCACGGAGCATAGGGTTAAAGACGATGCCACAGACAGCTATAGAGGTTAACGTATCCTCCAAATGGCTTTGCATTGAGCCTTACCCTGGTGCACAAAACTGTGCTCCACTGCCACATATGTACAGACCCAACGCCGCAATTTTCACGAAATCGTCCCATTTCCAGCCAGCATGTTCATGACATCTGCGGACGGGTGATATTAAGAACGTCTGATCCAAGGAGCTCATGTAGGTCATCATTGAGGAGCTTCATGGCCTGAAGATGGACGTCGCGCTCAAGTTGGGCTTCATTTGTTGTGCTCTTCCGACTCTTCCACTTCCCGTCGGTGTCAAGGAATCTGACCTCTCTAGAAAGCCAAGGGTAGCCGATCAGGAAAAGGGGCCGGACCCCTGCTTTGTGGGACTTGGAGCTTTACCCCGAGCAAGTGGCCCAAGTGGCGTCTCCCGGCGTTGTTCCGTGAGAACACATAAGGATCCACAAGGAATGTATTTGTGTCCGGCTAATGCATTCACCAAGCGGATCAAAAGCTTTGCCATGATATTATGCACCCATCTGTCCACTGAGTTCTTTTACCCACAAATTCCATCCACCAACCGCAAAAAAAGGACCTGGACGGCTAGTCACTGCTATATACATTATACATGTCTGCCACCTCACCCTGGACTGACACCGTTCAAAACATATCCAAGAGCACTCACAAAATTCAAAATTGGTCTATCAGGGAGTAGGTCACGAGACCCACCGCTATCCGCCAACCCAAAAACCATTCGGCCAAAAGGCAAAGCTGATGAAGCGATGCGCCAAGCCCATCTCTCCCTCCATGAGCTCCTTATGAGGTGGGAAACGGTCGCAGCGAAGACCGTTTTCCGACCGTAGACCACGACCACGTCGCCACGTGAGATCCGATCCTGTTCCTTGGATTTGTCAGGTAGGTCTTTGTGACACGTCGCCTAGTTACGAGGTCCTGGACGCGCACCGACCCTCACGAAAGCGGAAGCCCGACCCGCAGCAGTGCGGCACAACAAAGCCAATCATGATAAATTAACCTCAGGATTAAAAGCGTTTAGGGTCCAAACTATGTTGTGCACACAGGGTCCTCGCTGCCTGGGCGCGAATGTTTTGCTCCATCCTTTTCGGATGTCTGTGGCAAAGTCTTGTCGGTGGTCGTTCGGCTCCTCTCTTCCCCACCGCTGATTTCCCGCTCAAGAGAAAAAGCACTAAGTTGCTTACCCCTGCAAGCCCAGCAAGAGCGAACGACTGCGATTCATGCAAATCACTCAGTAGCTTTGCCCTGCGGCACACTGCACACCAGGCCCTAGAAACCGCTAAAAAATACTGATATAAAGAGAACATATATATATATATACAGTATATATACATTTACATATGCCTATGTGGTGCTCCCGAAGAACCTATATTACTATATACTATTGTTTATTCTTTGTGCGTGTGGATAACAAGGGTGATGATTCTTCAACAGAATAGACTCAGCGTGACTCCCTTTGTAATCTTTGTATGCCTTTTCTGCTGGGGTTTGCTTGCTGTGGTACGTGCTCCCTGCTGGGTTTACGTTGCACATGTCGCTCTTGCCTGCCTGTGCAGGGGTCCAAACGCTGTCACAAAAGTGGCCCGAAGGAATTGAACACAGGTCCAAAAGTCGAGGAAGAACTTCAGGCAAAATCTCTCCAAGATCTGCCAAGACCCTGAAAACCCCAAATCCACGCTTGCACCCCAAGCCTGCCTCCTACATCCAGGGTGAAAGCAAATGCCATCCCTAAATCAAACAGGCTCTTTGCAAGGATACTGGTACAGCGCCCCGGCACTCTAGAAAACTCTCTGCTTTGCACAGAAACGTCAATGACACAGTTCCACGGATTCACTTCCAGATGTAGGCTGATCACACAAGCCTCTCGACAATCTCCACGTGCTCCTATATAATTGCAAGAAACCATGCTTGGTTGCCAGAACATGTCTGAGCATCATGGACCCACACCTTGATCTATCCTACTCATTCCCCTCATGCCACAAGCCTCCCCTCCAAAAAATACTAAAATAAACACATGATAAAGGCAGCAAAAAAGAGAGAGAGAGAGAGAGAGATTTAGAGTGAGTGTCACAGAGGGTGAGAGAGGAACGCAGTAACAGTTACACACAAACATTCACAAGCATCCCCTCCTGCCATGAGCATAAGTCCCAGAAGGGTTTCCCACTGCTCTCTCTAAGCCATTTCTTGTGCATGGCATTGCAGGTGAAGATGGCGGTCTTGATGTCGGTGATCAAGGAGACCCCCGCCTCAATGGCGCCCCGGCGCATCTTGAAGCCGTCGGTCAAGGCATCCGAGTCCTTGGTCGCGTCCGATCACTCCTAGTAGTAAAAATGCTCCTAGTAGCAATGCCCTTGCTCCTAGTAGCTTCTTGCTCCTAGTAGTAAGGCCAGGAGCCCCTAGTAGCGTCCGATCGCTCCTAGTAGCAATGCCCTTTGCTCCATTCGTAGCGTCCTTGTTCCTATCGTTACTCAAGAGATAGACCTCTCTTTGAGGGTTCAGAGACGTCATGGACATCCACCAACATAAACATCCACGGATGAAAGGGTGCGAACACTCAAGAACTGGCGCGACTAAAGTATGAACAGGGAGCAGGAGCAGCAACAGGGATGAATGAAACATCTCAATCAACATGCCCGGGGTCCATAGAATCAGGAATGTCAATGACCAAATCCATCTTGCCAGCTTGGAGCATGGTCAGCACGTTGGGCTCCCTCTTGATCAAAGGCTTGTAGACCAAACTCGAGGTGATCCCGCTCTTCGTCAGGTGCCTAAGCCAACACGCTTCTGCACTTAGCGGCAATCTGAGATGTCCAAGTGTGGGCATTTCTGTGGGAGATCCCGCAATGTGTCAAAAGGAAGATTTCGCAGCACGATCCACTTGCAGAAAACAAATATATGGTTAGTTAATATTAGTCGTGTATTCATGCTTTGGGGGAGATCCTTTTTGGTATTCTCATGTATGCTTAAAGGACGCGCATGGAGGCCCTTCTCATTGCGCTTTTTTGTCAGCTCAAGTGGCTCATGCGTGCTCTTGGTGGCGAAGAGGCTGAAGCCCATGTCCTGCAATTGCTTGGCGGCTCCCGTGGTGACGAATTCCGCCTTGGCAGCCACCGGGCCAATGGAGATGACGATGTTCTTCGCGGGCAGCTTAAAATTGGCCGCGATCATGCCTAGACCGGGGCAGAGTCTGTTCTTGTGAGAGGATATCCACCAGCGGTGCTCAAAGAAGAGGCGGAAAAGAATCACAAACAAACTCCTTTCATGCGGGTGCCTTTCAAGAAAGCCTCATAGGCGTTGACACCAAAGCAGGCCACCTCACCCGTGGAGGACATCTCAACGCCCAGCCGGGGATCGGAGTTCTTCAGCCGTCCGAAGGAGAACATGGGCACCTTGCACGCCTCAGCGCAATATATAACCATAAAAGCGATTAGAAACAAGTGCATCGCTACTAGTAACAAGTGCCTTACTAGTAGTAACAAGAAGCTAGAAACAAGAAGCTATAATTATACAACTATATACTATATGTATATAAGTTTGTTTTTCGGTGATGCCATGCCACCCGCGAGGGAAAAGGGAGCGTTTTCCCCCGAAAGTCCCGGGTCGCGAAGCCCGTTGCTCGCTGATGCTCGGGTAGTGGTATGTCAGGTGTTCGCTGGCTATCTTTTGCCACTTGAGCATGTCTCTGCCCGGTTGCTTCACAGGCCTCTCGCCCAAAACAATTGCAGTGCTATCCGCCTACCTGCCTTCCAACGAGCTACCGCAAAGACCCTCTCCCAGCATGAGCCACTTCTAGCCGAGAGGCCACATAGTCAATGTCCATGGGCTGGATGATGGCAGGATAGACAGGCAATCCCGTCATGATGCGCGTCGCCAACTCGATGAAGTTCACATTGTAGGTCTTGGAGATGAAGGGCATGGATCGAGAGGCTCGCAGGTTGCATTCGATGACCTTCACCTCATTATCCTGCAAGTTCGCGGCCGGCCCACCCCCTCGGCATCAGCCAAAAGGAGTGTGAAGAACTCAATTCTGTTGAGTGATGTCGAGGCGTATATTGCTCTAGACAATACGTTCGACATCGTTCGACTGGGTCCTTGCAAATAAACTGGATATTGAAAGGCCCTGAAATCTTCAAAGCCTTGCATAGCTTCTGTGAAATGCCTCGAGCAGAAATAATGAACAATCAAGGACAAAATTGCAAGTGAAAGTAGCAAGGGTTGAGCTTCATTCTTTAAAAAAACCAAAAGGCATAAAGCAACATCTAGTGCAACCCTCAAATGCCGCAGCTTCTGCTCTCGGCACCCCTGTGGACCGATCTGGTAGGCAAGGCTACCACGCGGCCACACGCACCACACGGTTGCGCCGAGGTTCTCTTGACCCTTCGGTGGGTCTCCACAAATAAACGCTGGGCGGGCAGGAGAAGAGTGGCATCTCCGCTGTGCACACCTCGCCACAAGGCGAGCAAACGGGGGCATGTCTGGATGGTGCGAAGTCACAGGAAGAATGAGCATCCGAATGCAAAGATATCAAATATCTGCAGAACCTAAAATTACACATCCTATAGAATGACGACACTACAGGATTTTGAAATAACCCATTGTGGAGGGGCGGTCGTTTGGAGTCTTCTAACGTTTTTGGATACCGGATACCGGCTCGGAGTCGAAGACGCCTGCGTTTTCGATGTGCTCCGCAATGGCGTAGTTCACCAGCTCCCCGGCCTTGCGGAAAAGCTCGGCTGCAACGTCTTGTGGTTTTCATGTTAGTTCTTCTCTTTCTGATGCCTTCTTCCGGTCTGTGACCTTATGCCTGTATATTATATATATATAACTCCCAGATCCCATTCCCAGTATCGATCACTTCCTCTCCTTGCCAATGGCATCCATTTCCACCTCCTTGGCGCCGGTGATGTATTTGGAGATCACCACAGGGTGATCCATGCTCACCACTGCGGCCGTCTTCAGGAAGAGGTCCAGGTCATCATCGGTGGTCACCACCCGCATGGCAGCACCACTCAGCACATAGGAGGGCCGGACCAAGACAGGATAGCCTGGAAAGTCAAGTTAGCTGAGGTCGATAAACACGAAAACTTACATTATACAATATAGTATATATATATAGATATAGATATATATATATATACACACACATCCCGCCCAGAAGGACTATCTGTGGAGGTTGAGAGTTCCTTCCCACGTTCGGGGCGCGCAAAAGACTGCTGGATCGACTCCCCCGACTTCGACCCGACTTCCCCCGACCCACACCGGCCACACCTGCCGTCTTGCAAAAGCGCCGTGCTTCCTCCAGAGTGGCGAACTGGGACCATTCCGGCTGGTCGATGCGGAGAGAGTCACACAACTTGCTGAACTTGTTTCGATCCTGGCCACAACTCCACAAGCAACCAAGAAAGACTATATGCAGTTCGTATGAGTCCTGCATGCCTTCATGTCCACAGAAGGGGTCCACAAGCTGGCAAATAGGCCCATTTCTGCCACTCAGTTCGTCTCCTTTGTTTCAAGGCCAAGCCCAAATGGAAAGGCCCGGCACCGTTAAGCTGACCTTTACATCTGCACTCTGACACAAATCAAAGTAAAGCATCGCGATTGGCGTTGACATGCGTTGACCTACTCGATGCTTCAAATCAACGTGGCAATTTGCATTATTGATGAAAATCACCATTATGGTTTGAAACTGGGATGAACTCATGAAGATGATGACCACCCTGGATGAAGATTATGCCACTGCAGGCTGATCCATTGGCACCATTTGGCACCATGACCAGCTTGA